TTCTGCCACCTTGGGGATGTCGCTGTGCTTGGGACACGCGGGCAGAACTCAGATTGGCCGCTGCAGTAAAAGAGAATAAAAAATCCTTTAATAAATATATCTATGGTAAAAGAGGAACCAAGGAGAATTTTCATCTTGTACTTGATGCAGCAGGGAATGTGGCCACTGAGGATAAGGAGAAGGCTGAGTTCCTCAATGCCTTCTTTTCATCTGCCTTTAATAGCCAGACCAGTTTTCCTGCAGGCATTTTATGCCCTGATCTGGAAGTCTGGGATGCTATTCAGAGTATACGCCCAGTGATTCAGGTGGAGACAGTCAGAGAGCTCCTCCTCCATTTGGACTGTCACAAGTCCATGGGACCAGACAGCCTACACCCTCGGGTGCTGTGGGAGCTGGCGGGGGTGATTGCCGAGCTGCTCTCAGCCATCTATCAGCTCTCCTCTTTAACTGGAGAGGTCCCAGAGGATTGGAGGCTTGCTGATGTGACTCCCATCAACAGGAAGGGCTACAAGGAGGATCAGGGGAACTACAGGCCTGTTAGCCTGACCTCGGTACTGGGGAAAGTAATGGAGCAAATCATCTTGGGTGAGATCACACAGCATGTCCAGGGGATCAGGCCCAGCCAGCACAGGTTCATGAAAGGCAGGTCATGCTTGACCAACCTCACCTCCTTCTACGACTGGGTGACCAGCCTGGTAGATGAGGGAAAGGCTGTTGATGTAGTCTACCTAGACTTCAGCAAAGCGTTTGACATGGTCTCTCACAGGATTCTCCTGTGGAAACTGGCTGTCTGTGGCTGGATGACTAGAAGAGGAAAGGGACCTGGGGGTGTTGGTTGGTGCTCGGCTGAACATGAGCCAGCAGTGTGTCCATCAGTGACGGTTAGGGCCAACAGCATCCTGGCCTGTGTTAGAAATAGTGTGGCCAGCAGGAGCAGGAGGTGATCATCCCCTGTACTCAGCACTGGTGAGGCTGCACCTCAGTACTGTGTTCAGTTTTGGGCCCCTCACTACAAGAAAGACATTGAGGCCCTGGAATGTGTCCAGAGAAGGGCAACGAAACTGGTGAGGGGTCTGGAGCACAAGTCCTATGAGCAGCAGCTGAGGGAGCTGGGATTGTTCAGTCTGGAGAAGACGAGGCTCAGGGAAGACCTCACTGCACTCTCCAACTTCCTGAAGGGAGGTTGTGGTGAGGAGGGGTTTGGCCTCTTCTCCCAGGCAACGAACAGGAAATGGCTGCAAGTTGTACCAGAGGAGGCTTAGGTTGGACATGAGGAAGAACTTTTTCTCTCAGTGGTCAGGCACTGGAATGGCTGCACAGGGAGGTGGTGGAGTCGCCGTGCCTGGCAGTGTTCAAGAGGCGTGTGGATGAGGAGCTGAGAGATGTTTGTGGTAGCAGTGGTGATGAGAAGACAGTTGGACTATGTGGAAAGTGAAACTGTTGTTTCTGCATTGAACACTGAAAAAGGGCAATTGATCTAAAGAATTAAGCTGTAACATATCCGTAGAAATAGCCGATGTGGAAAGTAAGAATACCATATGCATATTAGTGACATATTTTAGAAGCATAGTTACCAAATTACCTAACAAATTCTTTCTCACAAAGCTGCAATAGACTTTAAATGTTCTAAACAATATGGGCATAGTATTCTGAAGTAGGAAACATATTGTAAGGTTGTTTATTAGACCAGCAGAAGTGAAATACATTGAACAAACTTACAAGGAGTCAGGGCCTTTACACAAAGCAGAACTGTCCCACTCTGTGGGAACGTTAGGATGCCATAGGCAGGCTCCAAGATGCTCCCCCCTATCCTCCTTCTGAGCTTATCTCTATGCAAGGACAGATGAATGACAAGAACAATGACCCAGTGTAAAAAGGGCACAAATGTTAGGGGGGTAATTAAACAATTAAGAGGCTATGTTTATGTTTATGTTGTAAAACAGACATCCGAAAGTTACGACCAAATGTTTGTTAAGAAAGCAATAGTTAGAAGGCAATTAACCAATGAAGATATTTGTGTTTGGGCGGCAAAGATTTGTGTTTACTTGGTATTTGTATGATTAGTAAAGAGCCGCGAAAGAGGGTGAACCTGCAGTACTCAGCCAATGAGGAACCAGGGCAGAAAGAGATAAGCGCGGGGCAGTAGGGGATAAAAGACGTAACGCTGTTTTCTCGGGGCTCTCCTGGTTGCAGGAGGCACGCTATTGCAATTGCGAATAAAATCTGCTTTATCAGAGAAACTGTCCTGGAAAACTATTTGGATATTTCCAACAGACTAGATGATCTTACAGGTCGTTTCCAGCCTTGTGATTCTATGATTCTTGGTCTCCATAAACTACAACATCCTGCCGTACTGGCAAGCCCCGCCAGCTGTGCAGCCTCGGCACTGCTGAGAGCAGTACCCCGGCTTCTGCCAGCCACACATCATCCACGGCCTCAAGCACCTCCATGGCACACGGAGGCAGCAACGACTCAGGGCAGCCACGTCCCGCCCACCTGCACAGCCACTCCTGGACACAACGTCAGAACGCGATTCCCCACGGCCGGCCCCAATGACGCCGCGGGAGCAGCCGCGCACAAACCCCACGCGCTGCCTCCGGGCCCCGGCGGCCATCACCACGAAGCTGGGACGTGCCACGCGCCTTTCCCGGTTTCTCTGCCTTTCCCCAGGCGGGCAGCCTTACGGGCAGCGACCACGGGGCTGCCTTCCCTGCTGGGCTTGGCGGCACCTTCCCCAGACCGCGGCTCTCCGGCGCCTGACAGTTGGACTGCCATCATTTAACCAAGCACTCGAACCGTCATTAACCTCTCATTAATAACCCTCTGCAGCGCGTATCACGCCCCAAACCCCCCTCCGTCCTCGAGGCGAACCACCCCGCCGGCTGCCGAGTCGGTCCCGCCCTGCGAGGGGCGGGCAGGCGGCGTGACGCGGCTGGCGCGGGGCGAGCGTGCGGCGGCGATGAGCATGGGGTGAGCGGGGCTGGGGGCTGCGGGGGGCAGCGCGGGGCGGGCGGGCGGCGCGGAGCGGAGCGCTCGGGAGGACGGGGCGCGGGGCTCCGCGGAGCGCTGCTCCGTCCTGTCGGGCTGCGTGCCGCGTTCGGTTCGTTCCTGCCGCGTGTGTAGCTGAAATGAGGCTGGGGGAGGGGGCAGGAAAAAAAAAAGAAAAAAAAAAAGCAAATCGGCTTCCCGTCTTCGGGCCTGCGGGAGGCGGCGTGGGGGGTGTCGGAGGAAGGAAGGAGAGGAAGGTTCTGGGAGGTCTGTGTTCTCCCGTGCGGACGAGCTTTTAAGAAGCGGGAAGATCACCGAGCAGACCAAACCAGCCCTCCGCTCGTGGGGATTTGTTAGAGAGATCCGCGTTTTTGAATGACAAAACACGGGAAGCGGAGCTGAGGTGCCTTAGTGGGATTTTTTGCCGGCCTTGCAGTGTCTGAAAAGAGAGTCGTTATTGGCTCGCCTTGAGAAAATGGGCCGGTGGGGACTCGTTCGAGCTGCTGCTTTCTTTCGGTTACGTTGCGGCTTTGCAGTAGCGATGCGTTGCGCTGAGGGCCAGGCTTAGCAGCGAGCCTCGCCTCGGTTATGCCGCTTTCATTAGAAATAAAAGTAGTTCCACATTCGCAGTAATACTGCTTTTGGAAAACCACCCCGGGCTGATTGCAGAGGGAAACCGCACCCCCCGTGACTCATGGCGTTGGGTTCCATGAGCGAGGGGGTTTCCACATCAGGAATGGAGCCCGGGAGCACTTCCTGCGCCCTTCCCGCACTCACTGGAAGCTTGCCCGTCTGTTTCACACCGCCCCGTGTGCCTTTTTCCTTACGTAAGAAGGGAGCTGTGTCCCTCTGGAGTTGTGTCCGGTTCCTGCCGGTGAGTTGCGCTCAGCCCTGCAGCTCCGTGCCGGGTTCTCTTAAACACAAGTTGCTTCCCCGTGACGGGGTTTGTTCAATGCTTCGCTGTGCAGAAGAAGGGCTGATGTCAGCCGAGACGTCCCTTTGTGCCCCCAGCAGGATGGGCACGGCTCACTCAGCGGTTTAAGCAGGAGGGGAGATGACAGGAAGCAGCTTGGGCACTGCTCTTCAAAGGCGGGGGGAGGGGAGAAGGATTGTTTCCAAATGATACCGCCTTAAGGCTCAGAAAGCGTGCAGTTCCTCATTTTTGCACCGGCTCTGTTTTCCTACTCAAGTTACTGCTCCGGCTATTGCTCATAGATCGGGGCTTTATCAGCGCCTTCCAGCTGTGGGAGGGTTTTGCACAGCCGATGGGCTCCTTATCGGGCTGGGCCGGTGCGCTGTCTCCTTGCGGCTGGGAGGACCTGCGGCAGTGATGCTCTGATCCTGCGGCAGTGTGTGAGGGAAGGGCTGTGTCGGCTGGCAGCGCAACCTTCCCGTGTCCTGTCCAGCTGGGAGTTCTCATCTGCTCGTGCTCCTGCTCTTTTTGCAGGAAGGTCTTTGAGAAACTCCAGTAAAGCATCAGTTGTCAGTAGGTTTCTTTTCATTGCTGTCCTTCAGTGGTAACTTCCTTCAGTATTCAATGCTGAGCTCCATGTACTGAGGCAGGAGGGCACGGCGCTTTGGGCAGCCCGGTGCGGTCCCAAACACGAGCATGTAACATCCTGAGTCCCCTTTTGGTTGTTTATTGAGGCAATAAATAGCATTCCTTGGCAGTGCCGTAACGACATACTTTCAAGTTCTTGGAAGCACTGTGCTTCCCTCAGGACTGCACTTAAAAGCAAATTAAGCATTTTGTACACACAAGTCAGCGTTAACTTGGATTCATATGCTTTCTGTTATTCAAAGCTGTTAGATCGAAGTGCAGTCATTAAATTTGTTAAATCTGCCACTTCTTCCACACACATAGGGTGCCCTTATGCCATCTTTACAACTCCCACCATTAATGAATACACTGAAGGTGTTTCACTTTCTATTCCTTTTCAACTGGATTAGCACAGACTGAACTTCCCCTGCAGCGCTGCTTTCCAATACAAATTCTGAGCAGAGAGGTTTACTGCATTCATTTTCCCCTCTTGTTGTTCTGTGCTTGGTGCCTCTGCTTTGTGAACTCGTGCAGGAGCAAAGCACTGGTTCACTGCAACCACAGTTGTCATTTGCATGGTTAATGTGGTTGCTTGGCCTTGGTATGCCAGTTCTCCTTCCTGGAAAAAGAAATGAGATGACTCACACCCACTGTCCCACTAATTGCCCGGTGTTTGGGTAGGTAACGAGGCGGGGTGTTTCAGAACATCTCTGTCAGAGTCACAGAAGCAAATATTGTAGTTGGCACAGCTGATAATCAGTCATTCTAAACTGAAACACAAACGAGATTACCGTTGTGCGCAGTTAATTGGATTCTGTTCCTAAATGAATTTCTGCCTTGAAATTACAGCTGATGGTGTAATGGATACAGTGATGCCTGAGGAAAGGCTGTGCCTCCTTCTGCGATGAGAAAAGGGAGCAGCAGCCTTCCTGGGAAGCCTCAGCCAGCAGGGACAGGACACTAGAACATTCTCGTGGACTGGGGTTGTGTTCATTCCTGATCTGTGTGCTGCCTTGCAACTTGGTTCTTCTCTGGAACTGAGAAAATCCACGTTCTTCTGCCCACCCTTGTTTGAAATGACAGCCTGCTAAGCATCCCAAAAACTCAGCAGTTCTAACTGTGGAAGGTGCAATTATGCTAATTTGCTGTCTCTCAATTTAGATGTTTTTAACCGTATGCATCCTCCATAGGCATGGTAAAAAACACAGCAACGCTGAGCTGTACTGTTTTTCTCCTCCCTGCAGAGCCCTTTCCATATGGCTTGCGTTCAGACACGAGCTTATCTCACCAAGAGACTGTCAGAGCAAACACAGGTGGGATGGTAACCCTCAGACAGGGGTTCTGCAGCTCGAGATGCGAGGAAGGCTGAGGAGGCATGTCAGGTCCTTCTGGTATAGACTCATTAATGTACCTCATGTAGACTTTGCTCCAGTCCCAACAATGTGCTTCCAGCTTCTGTAATGGGGATGACATGATTCATGTGTCCATTCCCCACCAGAGCTGCGTTCTGCGGTTAGCGAAGCCAGTGGGTGTAACCTGGTCTGAACTTCCTCTGATGGCAGTTTCAGGGTGTTTGGCAAGTCAAACATCAAGCTGCAATGCATTTATGGTCTGTAGGAGCAGGGATTTCATAGAGCTTACGGGCAGCTTTGGTGCTGAAGGTCCGTGGGTTTGCCTGCAGCAGTGTTGGCCCTGCTGGAACACAGTTCTCATGGCACTTCAGCCAGCAGACCTGGGCAAAAATTGCATTCATGGCAGCAGCTCACGCTACAGTGACTTCCTTTACAACAGGGCTTACAAATGGCAATTTCAGGGATTCGAGTGGCTGAAAAGTTTTAAAATGTTACTGGAGTTGAACCTTGAATATTTTCTAAGGCCTTAAATGCGTTCAGAGCATTTCGCACTTCCTTCTGGTTCTTGTGCATGGTTGAGGTCTCCTATATGAAAAAGGGCTGCCTTGAGAATTATCTGTGAACCTTTTGGACCCTGGGTTTGGTGGTCCCTTTTTAAGCTGTCACTCATGTCTCATTCAGTACCTAGAGGGGGGAATCGGGTGCTCATCACCTCTCTCCTTTCATGTAAACTCATATGTGATGATCACTGTGCCTTAAAGGTGAGATGAGTCTGCAGGGTATGCTGAGGACATCATGACATAGAGCTTTCCAAATGCAGGAGAAGAGGGGTAAAAGGGGAGCAAGGCAAAGCAAGGTGATAAGACAAGGCAGGGAGTCCTCTCTTCATATTTAAGTTCTATGGATCCTATGGAAAGTCACAGTTTGTACTGCGGCGATGAAACTGCTGGCAGGCTTGTCTTTTGTCTTCAGCTAAATTCTTGGCTAAAGTTAGCTTTTATTATGTGAGGAGAGAGAAGCAGGAAATGGCAGTGAATGAGCTCAAGCTGTTTGTAAGCATGTGGTTTATGCAGAGATGATGGTATATCATGCAGGAGTCTGAAAACTTGCCTTCAGAGCGGGTCACCAGCAGAGCACTGTGATCGTGGGCTGCGGCTGCTTCCATTCCTGCACTGCGAGGTCTGTGTGCAGGATCCATGGGGTAAGGTGAATCTGTGGTTTGGCTGTTGTTTGGTTTGGGTTTTTTGTTTGTTGAACCATCCAGGAGGTGTCTTTAAGCTGCAGTCCTTTGTTTGTTTTCACGTATGTATGTATGTATGTACAAGGCAGGAGGGCAGTTACTGAGCGGGAATGTTTTGTTTTTTTAATACTTTCAGAGACCCTTCAGAAGAGTTCATGAATTGAAAGTAAATAAACAAAGCAGTGGTTTCTTAGCAGAGAAGGGTACAGACTTTCTGGAGCTAGCGCACAGGAAGAGTCTTTATACAGCATGCAGAGAATCCCATCTCCTAGAGCTCAAACCGAGCTGTGTTTTGGCATCTCTCGGGTACCACCTTCTGTCTTCTTCTGAAGCCTTCCTGTGCTTTTTTCAGTAGTTTTACCTGTGGGAGTCCCATGGGCCTGTAATCATTACGTACTCTGCATCGTTACAGCGCTAGCAGATGTGTGGCAGGAGATGCTCAGGTCAGCAGTCCTTTGGCACAAAAAGAACAGATATTGATATAGTCAGGTGCACCATTAAGATATGTCAGAAGAATTGCCAAAACGAGCAGCAGAAAACATAAGAAAAAAGTGTATTTATGAAGAGCTCCAGTGTTGATGGGGTGTTGGTGCAGCAGTGTTGCAGTGTGCAAGTTCAACACATGTATGGGTTTGTTTTCCTGTCTCAGTGCCTTCTGCTCTTTCAAAAGCTGAGCTCACAGCAGCCCAGCCTGGCAGCAGGGAAGTTCTGCTGCTGCTGCTGCAAGGTCAGTGACAGAAACACCAACTGCAGTCCCATGGTGCACAAACTCCCTACAAGTCCCCGGGAAGAACTAACTCATGCCTGTGTTTTTCTCCCTGGCTGTTTTTGAAAGCTTGTAATTTTGGCCTGTAGTAATCACGCAGTCTGTAGAGCCGAATCACAGTGTTTGCATGTGCAAACCTGGCACACCTGTGCTCTTAATGCATGTTTCCATTCAGTTCCTTTGAAAATGCATGCAGAATGTCATCGTGCAGCTGTCGTGTTGTTTTAGCAAAGCTGCAGACAAATGGTCAGAATGCACTGAGTGTTTCTAAGAACTCGGTGAAAGCAAGGATGTGGTGGTTGGTTTGTTTCCCTGAGCTTCGTTATCATCACATTCCTTATTAGAGGGAGTAAACGGGCAAGGAGAGGAGAGATGTTTGTTACCAACAAGCCAGTGGAGGTGTCCTCCAGAGTAACCTGTGCTTATCTGCTGGCTGCCAGCTGGTTCTGTTAGCTCTCTTGTAACAGAGCTGAATTTGGTCCTGAAAGATGAACCCAACTGTGCAGGTTTCCTGCTGTGCCTGTTTATGTGTGATGGGTAGCTCTCTCTCTGCTTTGTCTTCTCCGTTTCTCAGATTTGTTGAGATGTTGCCCAGCCCTTGGTGAAGTTCAGAAAGGTTCATTGGCTGAAGTGAAGCATCTGTCTTCTTTCTCATCTCTTTCTTTGGCAAGGGAATCTTTTTTCCTCGGCATCATTCACTACCAAAAAAGGCCTTTTCCTCCTTAGCTGGGAAGAGCCAGAGGAAGAATCTCTTCTTGATTGCTAAGGTCCCATCCAACCCAAGCTGTTCTGTAATTCTGTGAAGTGCAAATAAAGCTGACAAAGCATGTATGCATCTTCGTGTTTGTGCAGCTGTGTTGCAGTGATCTGTTTGCTTTCTTGGCAGTGTTTCTGACGCTGTTTCAGTGACTTCAGAAAGCTGCAGCAGTTCGTGCTTCCTGTGTGATGCTTGAGTGCAGTAACAGTGGGCAAATTGCAGGCGCAGGGCTGGGGCATCACAAGGAAAGCCATCATGCTATGATTAGTACATCACAAAATCCATGCAAAAAATTGTTTGGGACAATACACATTCAGTCACTAATAAAATGGTTGTTCTGATTGCATTCTTCAAGCTGTCGTAGAAATAGGGGGAGAAAAAGTGGTGGGACCTCTGCTGGGGAGAAATAGGCATTTTAGATCGAACCTGTTCTGTTTGTCAACTCTTAGGCTCAGTGTTGGCTCACAGAGAGTTGGGTGGCTCCAGGGAAGTGAGGTGAGCTCTTGTGAATTTTGGCTGGGCACAGAGTGGATTGCTTTTGCTTTCTTCTTTTAATGTCAGAGGTAAAACCTGCTGGTGTGATTTGTAGCCAGAAATGCTTTTGATGCTGAATGTCTGGTTGGTAGCCAAGCAGAAATTGCTGGGGGCTCTGGAGATGCCATTTTGTTAAAGATGTTAAAAGGAGGCTGAAAGGAAGAAAACTAGAGAGTTCTGTAGCCAAAATGTCTATGAAGAAACAAAAACAGGATGGATGTTGAAACAGCTCTCCATTGGTTATTTTAGTGTGTTTTCTTCATTAAGAGCAGCTTCCTGCTATTGTTTCCAAAACCGCTGCCTGATGCATTCCATAGGAAATAAAAATGCAGGAGACTCTGGCCACCATGGGAGAAAGGCTTCAATTATCTCAGGCGTAGCAAACAAATCACAATGATCACTTCACAGGTCGTAGATCCCAATATTTTGCCTTTCATTTCATTATTTGACCCCAAAAAGGCATACTATTGCCTAGACATTGCATTTCTAAGAAGAGGTCTTTTAGAAAGTTATGTAGCCAGAGAAGATCAACAAGACCAACAGCAAGACCAACAATGCCAACAAGAAGACCAGCGTAGGCTTGATGCTGAGCACTGAATGTGTTTATACCGTTACTTTTTCCATCCTGTGTGATAAACAAAACAGCACAAGGAGGCTGGCAGTGCGGTCGTGCGAGGAGCTGGGTGGATGGCGGTCAGTTTGTGTGAGACTTACTGCTTCTGCTGGCATCTCTCTTGCAGTTTTGGAACCCTTGTTGCGATTGGAGTGATCGTTTTTGCAGTGATTGTTATTACTATAATTCTGTGCCTCACGTGCTCGTGTTGCTGCCTATACAAAGCATGTCGAAGACCGCAGCGTAAGTACCTCTGTATTTACTTTCTTTTTCTCATCCTTCACAGCTTTGAACATTTTTTTCTGGAAGATTTTATTCCCATAGAAAGGGGAAACAATGCAGTAATATTTTCTTACTGCTGTGCTACAAGAGTGGCAGTAGGTAAACATGAAAAGCAAGCCTTTAAGTTGCTTAAAATACCATATTCGTCCTCTGAGATCAAACTTAAAAATGAGCATTTTGAAGGGAAGCACTAATGAGAAGTTGTCTTAATTAAAGTATTAATAAGAGTATTTAGTAAGAGCATAGCTGAGATTATTGTGCATGCAGTCACAGAAGCAGTGAGGATGTTTATGACAAGGCTGAAATCTGAGTAAAACAAAAGGATTGTTTTGTTGTTCCCTGTGCAAGAAGTACAGCCTTGAACATTTGTAATTGTAGAATTAAGGTGAAGGTCATGAAAACAAATTGTTGCAGTTCATTAGAAAGTGCTGTGCTGCACTAAGACAGATGAACCAATAACCCGCTGTCCTCCCTTCCTGAAACTGATGTTTGCTTTGCCTTTCTGACTGTTCCAGAGAGGCATAGAAGTGTTAGCAAACAGACTGCATGTGAAAGGAAGCTCATTTGGCAAACCGTGGCAGGCAGCATCTTGCCTACAGAGGGGGATCTGTAGCACCTCTATCCTTTAAAACTGAAAGCATCTTTAAAATTAAGTAGTTTTCCCAGTCCTCTACCAAGTGGTGGATCCCTTGGCTGCAGGGCTCAGTCCAAGGAGACATTTCTTTGGTCTTCGTGGCTGAGAACCAAGGAGGTAAACCGGCTGCTTCCAGGTTCGTGTGAACTCTTAGTACCACTTAGGTCAATGGAAGGATATTCTGGGGAGAGAATTTCTAAAACTGCTCTGGAGCATCGAAAATGAAAATGTCCCAGATTCTAGAATAAGAAATGAATTTCTGAGAGGAGAATGTGCTTCTCCATGGCTGCGGCGCGCTGTCCCAGCCAGTCTCCGAGAACCACCAGCACTAACCACCTTCCTTTGGGTTGTTTGTAGCTGTTGTGACCACCACGACTGCCACAACCGTGGTTCATGCACCGTACCCACAGCCACAGGCAGTGCCACCCAGCTACCCCACAGCTCCATACCAGGGATACCAGCCCGTGGCCATCCAGCCACAGCCGGGGATGCCGGTCACATCCTACCCAGCTCAGTATCCTCCTCCCTATCCCATGCAGCCACCAGGACCCCCAGCCTACCATGAAACAGTGGCAGGTAAGAATGTTTTGATAGCAGGATTTTAGTAATGTGGTATAGAAGTAGAATGTTTTAATAATTCAATTGAAATTTCATATTGAAATCAAGGTCTAGCTAACGCATGCGTAGTAGTCTAATTGTGAATGTTTCAACCTATACACACGTGGCTTTTGCTAGTATTTTTATTTTATTCATCATTATTTTTGTAGAGAGAATATCCAGACTGATCAGCTTCAGACAGCTTTGTTGATAGCTGGCAATTAGGATTGCCAGCTTCTTTTTCCTTCTGCTTTTCTTCTTTCATAGCATGGCATTCATGTAGCTTTACTGTTGCTGATTCTGTCCTGTGCTGGTAACAGCTGTCCTCTGCAATTGGCTCCCAGCTATTCAGAGGCCAAAACTAGAATCACTGAATGATGGAGCTGGGTTGGAAATGACCTTAATGATCATCCATATCGCCAGTTTGAAAAGACAGCTGTTTCCATTCTTTTCCTCGCCTATTAGGCAGTGGGCAGTCTTTAATTAGGTCACGTGCAGGAGGGAGGATACCTGCTGTGTCACACAGGAGCCAAACCCAGCCAGCTTGCAAGATGAGCAGCAGATAGCCATGTTTGTGTGTCTGGCAGTGTGAGCAGGCGCTGCGTTATTTGAACCACCTCGTGCTGCTTGGCACCCCTCATGGAAGTGCTGCCTCAGAACAGCTTGGCTCAGAGTGCCAGAAAGTCAGGATGTTGTCTGAGTGGTACGTTTGTGATCTGTGCCACACTCTTCAGCCTTTAGCGTGCCTGATAGCAGTGGGCTGCTTCTTAGAATCGATTTTAGTTTGGTAGTGAGGTTGTTGACACTTAATAGTACTCCTGAAGGAATCCTAAGGTGCAGCTTCTTCTTTTTGGTTTATTTCCACTTCTCCACACACTGTCAGCTTTATCCTATTGCTTGTGCATTTCTGCAGAAGTTGTCGTTTGAGACAGAGGATTCTGAACGTGAGCTTGACAAGCCTGTTTTTCCTGTGCTTTGCTTTTGCAGCTGGTGCTGGAGCACCGTACCCCATCAGCCAGCCCCCCTACAACCCTGCATATGTGGATCCTCAGAAGCCCACCTACTGAACAGCTCTGCCACCGTGCACCGTGCAGCTGCAGTGTGTTATCCTGGAAGACAGCAATCTTTGTCTAAGTAAAGTGAACGTTACCTCCGTATCTTCTTTGTTTTTAAGCGCTTTCCGTCCTTCTGGCAGAAGTTGTTCATTTATACCTCAACTAAATACAAAGAGAGATTGTGTTCAGAACGCAGAACGGGTGCTGCAGATGTAAGAACCACAATAACATTTCTTGTGCAATAATTCTGAAGTGTGGTAGAAAGGAATGGTCCTCTGTGAGCTGTGTCAAACACCCAGAGCTGTAGCAATCTCTTGCACAGTACTGTACCATAAAAACATCATCTCTGAGAAGCTGTGTGACAAATGTTCTGCTTGTTTTGAGGTTGCTGTGACGAGGTCAGCTCCAACCTAATACATTTCATCCATTGCTTAAAAGGGAACCTTTCTTGAGACACGTCTGCCTGTGGTGAGAGTAGCGAGCCGTGTTCGGTTTGTTCGGACGAGTTGCATTATTCTGTGCTGAGTAGCATGAGTTCCTTGTTTTATTTCCCAATTTTAAGGCTTACAAACTGCCTTTGTTGGGTGTGTTCTCAGGCTGTTTTAGTTGATAGCTAGAAATTGACAATAGAACCAAACCTCCTGCCATTCCTTAGAACAAACAGGTCAAAAGCTGAAAACCTGGGGGTTCTTCATTAAAAATATTGGACAGAGACTTGGTTTGCTTAATAGTCAAACGTTGCTGAGTACTTTGGGGGAAATAAAATAGCGCCTTAGCCATACATGGAGCAGAAATGACTGTCGGTGGTGTTTTGCCACAGTGAGGGGATTTATTTTGCTTTTATTTGGTTTATTTGGAAACAAATCATGGGTTTCTTTAGTGTCTTCTATGATGCTGTTTCTTTCTGCATTGCAAGGCGTGTTGTTCCTTGGCGGAGCTGCGTGCAGACCATGCTGTCCCTCCCTGTGATGTAACGAGTGAAAGAATTTGGACGTGTCTCGCACACTGACTGTACCTGGGGCAGCCTTCAAACCACTCGTCCTGTGACATTCGAGGTGTATTTCTGTTTGGGAAATTTTGAACTTGAATAACCAACCATGTTGTTTTACCTCATAGGATGGTGGAAGCTGCTGCTGTCAAAGGCAGCCTTCTTTCTCTAACTGATTTTTGGGTCTTTTTTCTAGGTTATTCCAATTATTATTATTTTTTTTTTAAGTCTTCAGGGCATTTCAGGACAAACCTGTACCAAGTTTTTTAGCGTCAGTATTCACAACAAGCCACGTCCCTCTGTCACAGCCCTCTGCTGGAGTTAATAGCCTGAAGTGGTGCCAAGAGGCACTCGCAGAGCAGGCATGCCTTAGATCCACGTGTTCCTCCTCTTTCCTGCCCTGTAGCCAAAAAATCAGGCAGTGCTTCCTTACACTGCTAGGAGTTCTGTGAGAACACCCAAAAATGGGCAGTGATTCCCATGTGGAGGATCTGGGATATCTGCATGGGGGAGGGCACTAAGAACTGCAGAAGCAATCCCTTTTCTGCAGAAGAACTTGCCCACGTGTGTTTGTTCATGCAGGACAGCAGAAACTCCAGCAGCTTGGTTGGTCGGTGGATGGATGGGGGGAGTTGGGAGGAGGTGAGGGATAGGAGCATGAAGGAGCATGAAAACTTTTACACCTTTCCTTCAGCAAACATATGCTGCTGATAACTACGTTCGAGTGAAGAGAGAAAGCACTTCTGCACGTGTTAATAATTTAACTGTAGTGTCACTGTTACAAAACTGGATGAAAGAAGAGAAAATGGCCCGCTTTCCTCGCTTCAGAACTGGAAGACTTAATCAGGTTTTGTCTTAATGTATAAATCAATGTCAACCATGTGGCGTAGGACCAAATTTTATCATTGTGGTGCAATCCAATTTAATTTTTTTTCTTATGGTTAAGCAGATGTGGCAGTTAGATAAATGATGAGAGTCTGGCCCATACACTGTCTTTCAGGCACTGCTCATGCTTTAGTCCCAGTAACCAATGTCTTCACATGCAACCAGTTACCCACCATTAAAATGGGAATTCCCATTTTAACCGTTGAGTCCAATTCTTTTTTAATTCTGTAAGTGCCTTTGTTTCAGAAATGTTCTGTGGAATTAAATTCAGTACAGTACTCTGTCATACGGAATTTACTAGAGAATCGTTGACTTTATTACATACTGTAAACTAGCTTTGTATGTTTGTAGTTTAAACGTAAGTCTTCAAAAGAAATGGCATAAACTCTTTGCACCTTTGTAATAAATGCAGTGTTTGAAATATATTCTATCACTTTTGTTTTCTTAGCCTGTCCGAGTATTATTTAAGCTACATTTTAATTGCATCTGACATCAAGCATGTATTGTGAACATCACTTTTTGGTAACGGGGTATGAAATCCAATGACAGCTGCATGGCACAACACAGGAGGGATGGTGTGAGCTCCTGGATGATATTCTGACAGTGTTCTTCAAAGGTAATCTGAAAGAATTGCTTCTAACCTCAACTCCTGACACCAAACACACTGACTAATTCCAAGATCCTTGAGAAGTCTGTTGTGGACAAGATGTTTTTGGATCAAAGCCTGATACCTTTCTCATGCATGTCGACTTCTGAATGCTGTATCTCATTTTTCAACTGCTCCATGTTGGCACGTGATGAGTGATGCTTTCTGGTCCATGTGAAAGCATCGTAGCTGATGGCTTTATGTATTCTAGATCATTTAAAAATGCTTTTGAAAGCATTAATCCTGACTTCAGTTGAAAACACCTGCTTTGGGCAGGCCAGAGATGCTTTCGGTGAGACACGAGGTAGTACTGGATTGGTTGGTACTTGGTGGTGGCCTTGAATCATTAGCTAAATTTCTTAAGAAGGATGTAAATATATATATATATTTATATTTTTTTTACTTCACATTTTCTCAACAGGATTTCTGTTAGCTAATTAATGACAGAAGCCAAAATACATGCTCCCTAAAAACCTAAATCTGAACCTAAACTAGAAAACAGATGTGATTTCTAAACATTAATTCTAACCGTAAGCTGCAGTTATTTCTGATGCTTGGGTTGGGGTTTGCTGTTTTTCTTCTCCCACAAATTATTTAGTAGCTGCGTCTGTGCAATACGGATGAAACTGAGAGGTGACATCCTGGTGCTGTTTGCAGGAAGGGGTGCGTGGCTGAGAGCAGAGCTGCTGCTTTGTCTGAAACGTCCTGATTCCCTCTAACAATCACCGAGTGCATAACGGATACCTTCACCCCCTAAACCTGAAGCAAAACATATAGCAGAGCAAAACGCTGAACTAAAAACTGGAGAGCCCAGAGTTAGGTGAGGAGCACTGCTGTTTGCTTCCAGAGCTTGTAATCAGCAGCTCCTTATGTTACAGCCCAAACTGTTCCAGAACAAACCTTGGCGTGCATCTTAAAAGCCATGGCAGGGTTGGATGGAAGAGCTGGACACACAGAAAGGGAAAAATGAAGTAGTTTTTGCCAAACGAGCCATTACATCCTGTTTTTTTCAAGTATGGAAACCTATTGTCAAATCTAGGCGTGTCTGATTGCTTGTCAGGTCTGCTTTAGCAAACATCTTGGGGCCTGCTTTTGTCCTCTGATGACTGCTGGGCCTCACTGGGAGTAAGCATGCATTGCAGGACCTGCATCAGCTCATAGGTAAGCGCTGTAGAAAGGAATGCTGAAGGTGAAAGGTGTCTGACAAAGTTGTTGCTTGGATAACAGATCCAGGCTCTGGCTCTGGGAAGGCTGAAGCATCCTGCTGGCTGTGGAATGGCAGAGGTTTGCTGTGCTGGACAATAAAACTGAAGGAAGAGCAGTGCTAAGCTGATACGTTCTTGAGTGATGCACTTCTTGTGTTTCACTGAAGAACAGTTCAAGGTATGAAATCACCTCTGATATCCCGATTTGTGCCCTTACCACACCAACACACGTTCCTGTTCTGTGTTTTTTCTGCTGGGAAATCTCAGCAGTTATGTGGTTGTGATATTATAACTCGTATAAAAATAAACTAGCTGCCTCCTTGAGATGTTTCCCAGAGCAGGTTACCATTGGAGCAGCTGCTCCAAACAGTATTTCAATTGCAAGTATTAGAATTTAAACTTTGAAGATCAGTCTCTGAAATGAGCTGCATTAACCTGCTGCGGGGGGAGGGTGCTCAGGACATTGCTAACTGCCCCTGCTCAACTTCATACTGACATTTTTTGCCCTCATCCCAAGAATTTTGGAATCACAGAATCTCTGTGCTTGGCAAAGACCTCTAAGATCACCAAGTCCCACCGTCCACCTCCCCACCTGCCCACGTCCCTCAGTGCCACATCCCCACGGCTCTGGAACACCTCCATGGACGCTGACTCTCCCAGCTCCCCAGGCAGCTGTGCCAGTGCCCAGCCGCTCTTTCAGCAAAGATCTTCTTCCTGACATCCAATGGGGAGCTCTGCTGGTGCAACTCGAGGCCGTTCCCTCTCATCCCATTGCTGTTACCTGGGAGAAGAGGCTGACCCCCACCTCCCTACAACCTCCTTTCAGGCAGCTATAGAGGACGATGAGGACTCCCCTGAGCCTCCTCCAGATTATTTTTGTTTTTAATTTATAAGAGTTTGCACAGTTTGGGGCAGATGTTGCAGGCAGAGCTTTGTTTGCCATCCTCACCTATTAAAGCTTGTTTTCTCACAAATGTGTTTTGAGTCCCGGCAAGATGGAAACCAGATGTTGTTTGTTCATCTGTCCCTGCAAGGAGAACTGCTATGCTGTGATTTCTTCAGGGAGTGTTTGATGAGAGCAACCTGAGCTGCGTTACTTCGAGGTCATACAGCGAGCAGCTTCACTTTTGTCTTAGCAGCATTAACTTCAGGTTTTAGAAGCTATTGCTCCATCCCATAATTCCATGACGTTACTTCTGCCCATAAAAGCATAAGGGTTGGGTTTTCTCACAGCCTCCAAACTTCCACTCCAAAGCACAAAGCAGGGAGAATGCCATGGCAGCCCTGAAGGGAATAATTCATGATATTTTCCTATTGCATTTTCCACAGATAGCACTCGTTTATGTGAAGTTTAGCAGTAATACACATCTCCCTATTACATCCCTATTACAAGTTGTCCTTGAGATGATGCCAGGATTTTTTTTCCAAACAGTTTTTATACCTTTGAACTGCTTCAACGAGTTTGGATTCTTTAACTCCTTTTAGTCCAAACTCCTCCAACAGTTCATTTTATCAGAAGTGATTAAAACCCACCTTACCTCCGCACACTCAAATTAGATTTGTAGAAATCGGTTGGTGAGAACAGCAGAGAGCAATTAAAACCTGATGGTGCTGCACTCCGGGGTGGTGTGATGATGGCATCTCAGCAGGACAGCTCTGTTTGCCCTTCCCAGTGGGCTGAGTGCCAGACACAGCATCTCACAGGCAGGCTTCCTCACAGCACCCAGCAGCCCCTGCCAGTCGCTCCATCCCTGTGCTGCACTGCAGGAGGAGGGAACAAAGCAGCTCTGGCTGGGGGCAGATGTTGGATTACTGCACCCGTTGTTCCCGCACAGCTGTTTCTGGGAAAGCTCTCTCCAAAAGCACGAGCCTGGCCAAGAGCACGTTCAGCATGCAGAGCAGGGCTCCCTGCCCAGGCACGCCAGGGCACCACATGGCCTTTTTGGGTTAAGACTGGAGGACTGGATGCTTCCCAATTTTCCGAGGGCCCACCTCCCACTGCAGTACTGCTGCTCTCCGTTCTGGTCCTTGGAGCCAGGCCCGTTCTGGATGCCACTGCAGGAAGGCTGCTTGTGCATCAGTGCTGCAGGAGGCTGTGCTGCCCTCACACCACGAGGGCTGCAGGGAGGAGGACAGCTTTGCCTGGAAGGACCTTTTCTAAAGCTCAGTCTCTGCTCCACGCCTTGTAAGATTTGGGCAGGGCTGACTTCTTGGTGCAAAAGAAATTCTGGGGCACATCCAGACCTACCCAGGGAGTGCCTGAGGGAAAGGAAGGTGAAGAGAACCAGTCAGAGTTCCATCGCAGTGCCTATAGCCATGCCCTCACTCCTGCTCTCCTGCCACCACTCTGCCCCTGGCGGAGGCACTGAGAAGGTGTGTGGTGTTCCACGGCCCCACAGTCCTCATGTGCTTCCCACATCCTGAAGAGGAAAGTATAGGAAGGTATAGTGCTAGTTTAGTAACACAGCAGACAAAAACAGGAATTTATAGACTTCACTATTGCTTTATCGCCTCACTACTAAGCTCTAATCTAAAAGCACACCTAACCGTGTTCATTCTGCCCTACCTGCAACCTGTCTTGGTAGGAGTCCCTCTTCCCTTGCTGCAGGAATTGATGCCATCACAATTTACTCAGCTAATATGAAGCCTGTTAACTGCAAAACCTAGGAATACAAAGCAGTAATTTCCTTCACAACCACTAAAAACGTGACACACGTTTCCCTTTTTGTAAGGAAGTACAAACTACATAAAAACAAAGTGACTGAATGCTAGGATTGATGTTTTTGAGTTTACCAGCTATGTACTTAATTTCTCACTTCCCCATAAACACTATATAAGGTCACTGTTGGTCTAAAGAAGGGTTAGTTCCTTCTTTAAAGGCACCCAATAGCTGCACCACAAACACCAATGGGCTTCTTTTAGTAGCTCTTACACACTTCTGGTTTTAGGGTCTAAGGTTCAGCTGGTAACTGCAGCCCTCTATGATAGCTGGTAACACACTGAAAGAACACAGCAACAGTCACTCCTCCAATCATTTGTGCCATATCCTAGAAATCAGCTGCTCATTCATTCTACTGCAGCACAGACCTGGATACTACAGCTCAGAAAACAGTTGTTCTGCAGAGATCTAAACCTCTTTTGCTCAGTAAGACAACGTTCCTTTCAGCCACCTGGTTCTTCTCTAAGTTCTAGCAGCTTTGGGTGGAGCATCTTAGCAGTGTTACTTTCAGCACATTCATGAAACTGAAAAAAGGAGTGAACTCAGGTGATGAGTCCAGGCCTTTTAGGAATGCCTCGCTCAGTACGGAACTGCTGAACACAAGTTATTTCTGCCATTATTTTTCAAAAAGTCACAGTAAACAATTTACTAATTTCAACACAAAGGTTATGGATTCAAGCAAGGAAGTGTTACAGCTACAAAAGAAACAACAAATACTGTCACGAGACTTGCATAGGAACTCAGTGACCCCAAACGTCTCAGGACGTTCAGCATCATAAATGCAGCTGTAGTCACAGTAAATGGGGAACGCACAGCAAGGTTTCCATTCCATTCACAGCAGCTTCGTGGAGGTTGATGCTCATAAGCAGAACCATTC